CTCAAGCACCATCAACCCCTAAGCTTGGCTTTGTTGGTGGCAAAATACTTCATTTATAAATGTAACCTAAATGAACAATCTTTACTCTTCTCGCTGTTTGAGAAACAACTTCGGGAAAACATAATGACTGAAAGGTACATTGCAATAAAAAACAAAAATGCCAAGTTCTTTAATGAGAAATGGAGATGCCTTATATTAAAAGATTTTGTTACAGAAATTTTGCAAACACCAACTTCTCAATAGGACAAATTAATTTACTTAGTGTCAGTGTCATGGTTTTCAAATTTCTAATCAGTAGCGCCTTGCATTAATTTATTTCTATATCAATTGTAGTCCACAAAGTGCCGTAGTTTTCTTCTTGTATGGAATTTACTTTACTCTATGTTTTATTGTACTGTAAGTGTTTTCTTCATGAATGAATAAAGAAATAAATAAATAAAATTCAGCTTACAATTTACAACTTTTTATATTGATTTCAAAGATTTCAAGTGATAAGTAAGGTGAACTCACAGTTAATTTTGGTTTTAAAAGAAACCTTTAATAACCTTCACAGATATATCCACGTGGAAGTGCTCCGGTTCCTTGAACCGTATGACTGCAAAAGATATTATTAAACCCTTTGATCCCACTACTAGGATACCAGATTTCCCCACAAAGTTCATCTGGGTGAGGATCAGGCTGGCTTCTCTGCCAGCGGCTGTCATCTGCGGCCACAGTGACATCAGGAGTTTCTCCCTCGGGCCATTTCCATATTCCACCTTCTTTACGCAGTCCAACGTAATAGTGAGTGTAACTTCCGGCCTCCTTAACTTTTTCTGCGATGAAGCCCTTCACTTTGTTCCACTCGTCTATCGTTTCCATGGTGACTAGGTGAGCTCCCATGTCATGACATGCGTCACGGGCCTCGGTCCATGTACTGTCAACGTCATGGAAGGTGTAGCAGTTGTTCACATTACTGGTGCTACTTGAACCTTTTGTCGCTGAAATATTCAACCAACAACAATGGTTTTCTAAATTCGTATTCCATACATGAATCGTTAGAACAGGAACGCGTGATATGTAGTCACTCTTTGATTATAACCTTCCGAAATAAGCCCAACTTTTTGTTAATGTCAACCGCTACAATGTGATTGGAGGTAGTGAAGGGCCTATTTTAAATTCTCGAACAGCTTTTATCCTACACATGTCTTTCACATCTTCCAGCTGCTTCTAACCACAGGACACAAGGTTATATGCTAACTGCAGATTCTGACCAGGCCGTGAGTGAGAACCGGTGGACCTAAACAAGGTACTCGAATGTAAAACAGGAACGTTCCTAGCTGACTACGAAGAGCAAGCAAGCAAGAACTGACTATTAAATACTAGGTGAATAGGACTGCTTAAGCAAGAATTTACTTTAGATATGTTCGTTAGATATACGAACATATCTACAGCTGAAACCTACTTTTGGAAGCCAGATCCACGTCAAAAGAGAGGCGTCCAAGAATGAAGTACGGTCTATATGTAACCTAGCTTTGGATTACCGAAGCACAACACGGATTTGGATTTGCGTCAAATGGACTCCACAAGAATTCTGTCTACGACACGAGGAATGAGCCCAAAAAAACAAGGAACAAATAGCCACAAATTTTCACAAATCTCAAATACTTTTCTCAATTGGTTCGTGGTGCACAAAGGCCCCCTCTCTCGTTATAACGGGACTTATTCATGTCTTCCCGTCTATCTGTGGCAGATGGCAGTGTTTATGATTTGAATGAGTTTTCTCTAACTGCCTGCAGAGTTTCGCTTGGCACCCTATTCTCCTCGGAATTATCAGTACCAGCGGACAGTGGGCCACGAATTTATCAGTAGGCGAAGATGCCTCAAGCCATTACGTTAGACTCGTAAGCGTTGCTTTGAAAGAAAAAGCTTGTATTTCGACAAAAAGCAAGCAGTTGCTGAAAATAGGTTGGGCAAGTAGTATTAACCAGCCATCTTTTTAGAAAAGCTTTGGTCAATTCTGTCGGCCTCCCTGCTGATTAGTTTCTCGCTTTAGTCACTGATAAGGTTGGTTTACTTTGGCTCGTACGAGCTGGTAATTCGATGTTTTAACTGGAACTCCATACTTGAACTGGAATTTATGTAATTTACGACAATCCCGCGTCCACCCCTAGCTGCATTGACTGCAACTGGTTAATTTATGCGAATAACTGTGCCCTAGCCAAACGAAATTCTCCCTAACTATGAAATAAATGAAAAACAATTCGAGAGTTCTAACCTTTTGATAGATACAAAACAAGAAAGAACATCACGATGAACTTGAAAACCACCCCTGACTTCATCTTCAACCTAAATTAAAACACCATAGAATTAGGTTTAAAAATGACTACATCTTTTTGCCGACTTCCAATTACGATCCAAGTTGAATAATAATGTTAACAAAGATAAAATCGAAACAAATATCAAAAAACGCGAATACTAAGTAAGATGATACACCTGTACCTTGCGTTGGAATTGGAGTAAAGTTTACCTCTTGACTTTTAGACTGAAAATGTACCAAGCGAAAAAGTAATCTAACCTTACTGAAGGTTCGCAAGAATATGACTCTGTCCTAGCTCCACAACGAATATTTTATAGTCTACAGGTTTTGCATTGTATGCTTGGCTAGGTTCATGTCTTTTCACACTGCCTGCAGCAAGACAAACTACTTAGCGAAGAGAGCAGAGTGAAGAGAGCAGTATGTTTACTTATTAAACATCTTTAAGAGAAAACAATTTTATTCAAATTGCTCTCAATTAAAAATACTGAAATGGTAGAAAAAATTTTTCTTCCTGTTCCAAATGGTTCGGTTTAAAAGTTTATATGTGTCAAACACGAAAACTGGTGTTCGATTTGAGTGTTTCGTGATCGCAACTCTCATAAATTCTGAGTAAGTCTGACATAAGCAGGTATTTGCCCTCTTGGCAGGTTAATAAGACTTCGCCTTCAGTAAACGGAAGAATGGGCACCAGACTAAGCAATTTGTAAATTAGAAGTTTCTAAGACCTGAACTGAAATGAAAAGGACTGTCGAGTACATAAGCTTGGATATACAAAATAATTTGAACAAGCAACACGGTTTATCATTCTAAGTGGTTCATTTTTAAGTTAAATCAAATTAGTCTCTCCTTGTGACGGTGACTTTTCTGGTGTTTCCTTAATTATGAGATATTTCTAGGATTTTAATTCTCTGTTTACTTTCTGTTTGCTTCTTTTTCCCCAGTTTAAAGATACTGTGCCGCGTATCATATTTTTAGCTCTCTTCTCGGTGTTTGGAGATGCTATGAAGCATTTTTTTCGTTCTCAAGCGATAATATTGCCAAAAATTAAAAGTGATTGTTATTCCATAGAAATCTAATGTTTAGAAAGCACTTTCCCAGAAATAAAACGAGCTACTATTACCTTATTAACTTGTATCTTCAAGAAAACATACGTCAGAGAACCGGAATGCACGTCCTTTAGAATATTTCTGCCTGCTTCGTTTTGAAGGTTGAAGTTTGACTTTTTGTCATATCATTAAAATTGAATGTCTGGGTGGTTTAATGTTTTGCAATCACCTTATAATTGATATTTTTGTGAACTGGCATTAGCCTGTAGGAGCTTAGCAGACATTGAGGAACACTTCACCAACGAAAGAACTTAAAAAACAAATTGAGTTCACTGTTTTTTAGCGTAAGGTATGTCCAAATTTGATTCTTTCACATATTTATTTCGTTTTGCTGTGCTTTTTCCCCAGTATATTTATACTCCTTCCATTTAATCAAATTAAAGTGATATTTATCCATCCTTTGGAAATGACAATAGTTTGTCCACAAAAGCACAAAATCAGTTAGAAGAACCAATTTCGGGACAGAACAGCTATTGAGGGACAGTAATTTTAAGTGCCACAAGTATGTTTGTCTACATTGTATCAGTGAGAAATCAAGATAAATCAAAAGACATGAATTGATTATTTAAATACAAGGTAAACATTTTGGAAACTATAAAAGTGGAAAAAAAAACCTAGTTTGACGTAATAAAAAAGCTTGTTATCTTGAGATTACATAAACGTTATTTCTTTCTGTTTTTCAAGTAAAGCGTTTCACTGACAACTTGGTTCTGAAAAGCGAATAAAAGATATTAAGAGAGAGACTCAATTTCCCACAAGAGATGACAAAAACACCCTGCGGAGATCTACCATCGGAGATCACGAGGCTTTGTATAAGGTTTTCTTAAAGCTGGAAAGTTACCAAAGAATAATTAAGTGCGAGTTGACCACTTTGGTCTCTATTAGTTGGCGCTGACTACACCTGAGTCGTTTTCCTATGAAAGCATTGTTTTCAAGATAGATGTTTTAGAATTTTGATTAATTAGCTAAGGGTTATATATTTGAAATTAAATAGGACGTTTTTGGACTTAAAACGCTAATTTGTTCAAATTTGTCTAATCTTTTTGGTTTTCTGTGTCAAATTTCTCTCACGCTTACTGGCCCCTGATCATGAATAAGAATACAGACACACTCGCCCTCACTCGCGCCATTTCGTCAATTTTGCCAAACATTTTACGGCATGTCATCGATTACAGCACAGAGGCATAAAAAGGTGGCATCAATTTGTTAAATAGAAGTAGATCGAATAAAATTCCCACCTTATATTTTTCTCAATAATAACTCAGAACCATAGTTTTCTTTTTATATTTACCTTTTTTTTTACACACAATTAAGGTTAATCATTTTAGACTTCCTGTTTTGTTATCGAAATAACATTGTAATTGCAGTGACATGATTTAACATGACAATGTCAGGTTAGAACAATTCATGCCAGTAAATATATTTTACTGCTGTTCAAGCTGTGTTTCTTGCAGACACTTGTATCTTCTGAAACTAGCGATATTTCGAAATGACAAGTTGTACTGTGACGTCATTAACCACCTGTCATGGTTTTTCTGCACAGCACAGAGATGAAGATTGTCTTCGCCGTTTTTGTGGGATGGGCAATGTTTCTAATGAGTTTGCACTTTGGTAACGTTTTTCTTCCTTAATTTGATGTATGTTACGAAAAAAACAACAGCACCAAACAAAACAGGGAGGAGGAAAATTTGAGATAAAAACATAAAATCTATTTTTTTTTTAATTTAATTTGGAATACGGGTTTTCCATTTGAAGCTTTTTCGGTTAAAAATTTTGTTTGGTGTTTTGTTTTTGGAGTAACATAGCCAAAGATAATAAAAATGGTGGATCATGGAAAATTTCTGCGTTTTTAATTAGCGATATAGAGTGTGCAATAGTGTGGAAAAATTTTAAAGAAGCATTACCATTAAGTCACCTTTGAGCTACCATTTGCTTTTTCAAATTTTTCGCTGTAGCCTTTCTCCATATAGACCAGTACTTAGTCGGTTACTCTCATTAACAAATTACTTTATTTGTCTACCCATCTATTTGTTTAATCTGTTAATAATTTTCACAAATATCGGTTATTCTTGCTTCACCATGTATTTAAGGAAAAGAGCATGTTGATAATGGAGTTAAACAATTTTGAACATGAAAACGTTTCTTTTGCAAGGTCATGCATTGGCTTCCTTGCACCATCGACTAACGGAAACTGGTCTGGCTGAGGGTAAGTTGTCATCATTATTTGTACAAGCCAGCTGATATTTTGTTTTCGGGAGCTACCTTTTTGTTATGTTGCTCCTCGAATCAAAAAACTGTATTTTGATTGATAACTTAATGCCTTACTTCCCACAATATGTTACCCCTAAGTCTTGTCTGATGTGAAGAACCTAATGAGCGATCAGTCCCAAAAAGAGGATCGGAATTTAACAGTGGGCAATGAATCACAAATTGGATTTTAATTTTCCACTATGACTGAATTAAAATTTCTGCAGATTTTCTCAATCAAGACATGTTTTTCTTCTACATAGAAATTTGGTGTTATGCGATTTAAATTGATCTATTTGAAACACCAAGAGCTAATGTCAGGAAAAAGTGAGCAAAATCTCAATTTCGTTGCAAAAAGCGAAAAATCTATTTATCTGATCATATTTTTCTCATACATTGCTATATTAGATAAATGAGAAACACGATTTTGTTTGTTTCTAGCAGAGGACGTTTAATTTATTACGAACCATGACAAACAAGTATATTGATCTTTCTGAATTTTGAAGTCATCAGGTTTCAAATGCGATATATTCTGATGAAAACACCTACGTCAGCTTTCTTATTTAAAAAAAAATCGGGAGGAATCGACTTTTTAACTTCTTCCACAAAATTAAGATTTTTTTTGCTGACGTCAGCAAAAACGTGCTATCTAAAGGAGCCACACTATGTAATGAAATTCCCAAAATTTTGGAAGTGTTTTAATAATGTATTTTTCAGAAGTGAAAGCAGACAAAAGGGCATGTCCAGGTATACCTGTAGTACCAAGAACAACTCTGATGGAACAATTGATAAAAGACGTGACAGGCAGACCTAACGTTTGTAATCTTTACACTTACGGTTGTTGGTGTGGTCAACGTGGACACGGAAAATACGTGGACAACTTTGATTAGTAAGTATGACCTTGCTTTATACCGTGGAATTCAAAAAGCAACAGTGCTATTGGAGTGAAAATTACCGTCTTTCATGGAAATTATGATTTTATGATAAAAGCAAGCTGGATTAGTCAGAATTTTTTTCTATTGAATGTTACGAAGGTTTTGCAGTATGCATGTAAATAAATCCAGTGCGATTCGAATTTGAACACGAAAAAAGGGTTGTAACGGCAATTTCTTCCTAGTCTGCAAACTTGCGCATTTGACCTTGCTTAGTGAGTGGTGCATATTAAACCAAATTGTAATAATCTTCTGCCAGGCGGGGACTCTAAACGAACTCCTGATGGCCTTCGTTTTAAGAGAAATGGACACAGGTAAAACGATCGCACGCTCGGTTTCGAGCTTTTAGGCCGAAATATAGCCCCACTTCATTTTAAGACTGAAAGAGTAGCCGAGA